CGGTGCTTTAGATGGTGAACGGTTCATATGAGTTGATTGTAATCACCAGTCCCTTTAATCTGTTGAAACAACCATAATTTTTTTTAAAAAAAAATGAAAAGCAAATAATTCTCTTAGTGAAAAATTGAGGACATTACATAATTAACCTTAAAGAAAATTTTTTATCTAGAGAACTAGTCAATAAACATCGAAAGAAATAAGAGATTCGTAATTATTGAACCAAAAACCTTCTTCCATTCTTGATAGAGCATTCTCTAGTCGTTTTTATGTCTGCTCTAAAGTTCCATCAAGTCATAGTCTTTGTTGGGGCACATGGTGCTCTGTGACATTTTCATATACCACTTTATGTGACAAAATTCATTTATTTTTTATAATTTTTATAATTTTTGTTAATACATATATACCATAATCACCTTTTTCAATATATATAATTAACATATTCTTACTTTATTTTTAATAAAAAAATTTATTTTTAATGAAATTTGACTATTTTATTGAAATTTTCAACTGTGAAAATTAAAATAAAAAGGTCTTTACCCGAAAAAAGTGAACCAATAATCCTAAAACATATAAGTTTGAAAGCGGTTGTAAATAGGCAGTCATCTATGTAATTTGAAACAAAAAGAAGTGCAACGAAATGAAGGATTCTGGACTTCATCATCATTTTTCCTCATCGGGTTTTAAGGATATTAATGTGGATTGAGGCAATTTATTGGGTGCACTCGGAAGCACCATACTCCCCTTCCTATTTTTTTCACTACTAGTCTTTATTGTATTTTTTTTCTTAATCTTTCTATAATTTAAAAGTTTAGTCCCTATCATTTTTTCTCTCTATTCCAAAAAAAACGTCTCCAATCTTCAAATGAGCATATCTCTTAATCCGTAAAAAATTAGAAAATGTGTTACACGTGAATTCTGTTTTATTCGTCGAGATCTATCCAACAAGATCCATATGGAATTTTTTTTCAGACTTAAAAATAATTAAATTCTGATGGACAGAAATAGGGTGGGTATATATCCAGCTCAAGAAGATAGATAACCAATTTATTTTAAATTGGTTATCCATTGTGTTCATCATGATTATCCAACCAGTTTGTACTGGATATTTATCCAACTTGTTTGTACTAGATATCAATCCACTTGGTTTGTATGGATATCCAACTTATGTGTACTAGTTTTCCAACAGATTTATATGCTTATCCAAATTGTTTGTACTGGTTATCCAATCATGTTTTTTTGTTTGGAAAAAATCATTGTCCAATACGCTAATACTGGTTATCCATTTTGTTTATACCGCTTATTTAATCATTTTTTTTTCTTTTAAAACACGGTTATCTAACGTGTTCGTAGTGATTATCCAATCGCTTTGAATTGGCTATCCAATTCTTTTTAATGCTTGTCCAAATAAGTTTCTATTGCTTGCCCAATCATTTATTTTTTCTTTTAAGAAAACACTTGTCCAATTAATGTATTCATACTGATTATTCAACCCCGTGCTCTTGTTTCACAAGCTACTTTTTTTTATGAAAATACTTGTTCGATATGTTTGTACTTTTTATCCAACTAATTGGTAATACTTATCCAACCTAGTTTTTTTTTCCTTAAAATGGTTATCTATTGTGTTCATACTGATTACCCGACCGATTTGAGCTGATTATCTATTTCGTTTGTACTGGTTATCCAATCTGTTTTTTTTTTTTTTTAGAAAATCATTGCCCAATGCGTTAATACTGATTATCCAACTAATTAGTATTGCTTATCCAACCTGGTTTTTCTTTTTATTTTATTTTATTTTTGAAAAAATGGTTATCCAACGCATTCATATTGATTATCTAACTGCTCGGTATAGATTATTTGACCATTTTTTTCTCTACTTTTTGCAAAAATTCTTGTTCATTTTTTGTACTGACTATCCAACCGTTTTGTATTGGTTATCCAATCGTTTTCACTAATTATCCAAACAGAATGTCTTTTCCTTTTTTTTTCGTTTGAGAGACTTCTTGGTGATGGTTATCAAACTTTCTTTTTCCTTGCTCTTTTATGAAAATGATTTTCTAATTCTTTTGTACTGATTATCCAATCAGTTTGTACCGCTTATCCAATTATTTTCAATGATTATCCAAGTGGTTTGTAATGGTTATCTAAATATTTTATTCTTTTATTTTTTTATTTTTTGGAAGAGGAGAGAATGTAAAAAATATGATTGGATAACCAGTCCAAACCAAATGGATAATCAGTCCAAATCAGTTGGTTAATCAGTAAGAACATAACAGATAACCATTTTTCAGTTTCTTCATCTCTGCTCGTAAATTTTAAATGCATTTAAAGTTCAAAAAAAATATCCAATATTGATCTTATCGAATAGATATCGTCGAGCACTACGAATTTCATATATAATTCGTATTTTAATTTTTTACGGATCAAAAGATATATGCAATACAAGAATTTTAATATAAAATAATTTGGCTATCCATATTTTTAAACTGGATGTCCATCCAAATGAAGGTACAAATTTCTTTATTTCTGTCCATCAAAATTTAGTCATTTTTAAGCTGGAAACAAATATTCAATATGGATATTGTTGGATAGATCTCGACGAGTATTATAATTTTTATGTATAACACGTTCTCTAATTCTTTACGGATCATGAGATATGGTCGTTTACCGATTAGAGATGTTTTTTGGAAGATATAAAAGAGTAATAGGGACTAAATTTGTAAATTATAAGAAGAGTTGAAAAAAATACAATAAAAATTAGTGTGCAAAATATAAGAAGAGTTGAGAAAAGATATAATAAGAATTAATAGTGCAAAAAATAAGAGGGGTGCACATGCTCCCATATGCTGGATATATATTCTGGTGGATTGATGTTAAGTGATGCTAATAAGCAGTCAAGTATGTACCTATCAACTCGTAGTTTTATTTTATTTTATTCTTTTTTGAAAAAAGTTGAATCAAATTCTTTATTTTTTTATCATGCCATCTCCAAATTAATTTTGATGAAGGCTTATTCGAAATAAGGGATGTGAAACTCGCATATTCTTTTTTTTTTTTTTATCACGCCATCTCGAAATTAATTTTGATGAAGGCTTGTTCGAAGAAAGGGATGTGAAACAAGCATACAGGTCATCAATGATCTGACAGCAATATAATTTAAGGCCATGTGTTCTGTGCGTTAGAATATTTCATATCACTCTTGTCACAAAGTTAGTTATAATTACAATACCATAAGGTTGCAGAGGTAAATATATTAATTTAGACATATGTGTGTGTATATTATATATATATATATATATATATATATATAGATTGTTTGACTAAATTACTCTTTTTTTTTGTCGGCAATAGTGACTAGATTATTCTTTGGTAAGGCTATATGAAAAGAGAACTCTCAAGATAAATGATAAAGAAAAGAGAACTCCAATTCTGCCCTGAAAAATGTTTTAAAAGAAAAATTCAAACACAAGGTATATGATTAGGGAAAATCAATTTTTAATATGTATATGGAGAGCGTTTATTTTAACGATACATAAATTGGAATTTTACCTTTTTAATTTTATAATTTCTTAAAAAATTATATATATAAAAAAATTGATTTAGCGTCAATACAAAAGATGTAAATGAACTTAAAAATATGATTTCAAATTATATAATTTTATTATTGACTTCCTACTATATTAGAAACAAAAACCTCACTTTTAAACACATCATATGATTGCCACGTGGCATGTAGAAAATACTAAATTGCCCTTTTGTCTAACCATAACTAAATTACTAAATCTCTCTTTGTACTTTACGTGACACGTTTTTTTTTTTAATTTTTTCTTTATATTTCATTCAACTAGAGTGGATTTTTAAATTGAATTGATCAATTAGGTTTTTTGTTACAAAGTATCAATTTTGTTTTAAGCGTATACCCTTCGGATGAAACTTATTACAAAGCTATTAAAAATCTCTAAAACTAAGTATTGATTTGGCACGACCAATGGAGAACATCAATAAATCATCTTACTAATATTTAAATTTATTAGGATGATTTTATATTTTATCTAACATTTACTTCAACACATATATTCGATTAAGCTATTTATATTTAATAAGTAACACTTATAAAACCAAAAACCTCACTTTCAAACACATCATATGATTGCCACGTGGCATGTAGAAAATACTAAATTGCCCTTTTGTCTAACCATAACTAAATTACTAAATCTCCCTTTGCACTTTACGTGACACGTTTTTTTTTTTAATTTTTTCTTTATGTTTCATTCAACTAGAGTGGTTTTTTAAATTGAATTGATCAATTAGGTTTTTTGTTACAAAGTGTCAATTTTGTTTTAAGCGTATACCCTTTGGATGAAGCTTATTACAAAGCTATTAAAAATCTCCAAAACTAAGTATTGATTTGGCACGACCAATGGAGAACATCAATAAATCATCTTACTAATATTTAAATTTATTAGGATGCTTTTATATTTTATCTAACATTTACTTCAACACATATATTCGATTAAGCTATTTATATTTAATAAGTAACACTTATAAAACATTTCTAAAACATACATGGCGAAATACAATTTATTTTTTTTTTGCGAAATACAAATATTTCTATGATCACACTTATAAAACATTTCTAAATCCTTCAAAAATTTCTAAAATATATCGCTCCAAATACAAAATTTTATTTTTTTCAAATATAAACATTTCTAAGATCTACAGATAGACTAGGCCAGGGTCGCGCATTGCGCGACCAGACATCACTAGTATTACAAGAAGCGTCTCAAAACCATCTCAGTTTGGATATCTAATTTTATATTTGATGCTTGGGATAAATTAGGCTTGGCCAGTTTGATGGCGGTTGGGCAATTTCCATATTATAAATAGGGGTCAATCAACATACCTGACCTTCCCCAAAATTTCTAGGGTTTTTGTGTTGAAAAATCTCTTGTATTCCTCCATAGCTTTGAGTTTTCTTCGGAATAAAATTATCTGCACACACAATGCGGCCGATTCTGATGAAAGGCCATGAGAGGCCATTAACATACCTCAAGTACAACAAAGATGGAGATCTTTTATTCTCCTGTGCTAAGGACAAAAACCCTACCGTTTGGTTTTCCGACAACGGCGAACGGCTCGGAACTTATAACGGCCACAACGGCGCCGTTTGGTGCTGCGACGTCTGCAGGGACTCGTCTCTGTTGATCACCTCGAGCGCCGATTGGTCGGCGAAGTTGTGGTCGGTCCAAACAGGGGTCCCGGTTTTTACCTTCAACTTCGACTCGCCGGCTCGATCCGTCGACTTTTCGACCGGGGATAAGCTTGCTCTCATAACAACCGATCCGTTTTTTCGGTTGCCATCTGCCATCCATGTTAAACGGATAGCGCAGGACCCGAGTGATCAGACCGGGGAATCGGTTATTATATTAGACGGTCGTCATCAGGGTAGAATTAACCGTGCGGTTTGGGGACCCTTGAACCGGACTATCATAAGCGCTGGCGAAGATTGTGTAGTTCGTGTTTGGGATACCGAGACCGGGCAGTTGATCCGAGAGTCGGACCCGGAAACCGGTCACAAAGACAAAATAACATCACTGGAAAAAGCCATTGATGGTGGAAGTAACTTCATTACCGGTTCGGTAGATAAATCTGCCAAGTTATGGGATATAAGGACATTGGAGCTTCTGAAGACGTACAGAACGGAACAACCGTTGAATGCTGCCACAATGTCGCCGCTTCTCGATCATGTTGTGCTCGGTGGCGGCCAGGAAGTGACGAGGGTTACAAACACCGATCATCGTGCCGGAAAGTTTGAGGCGAAATTTTACGACAAGATTCTTGAGGAAGAAATTGGAGGTGTGAAAGGTCACTTTGGGCCAATCAATGCGTTGGCGTTCAATCCCGACGGAAGAAGTTTTGCTAGTGGAGGTGAAGACGGATATGCGAGGCTACACCATATGGATCAAGATTATTTCAACTCTAGAAATAGGCTCTAGCTATAGTAGATAATCGAATTGTTAGGGTTGTTTGCTTGTTTTGTTTTGTTTTGTTTTGCTTTTTTTTGTTTGTTTGTTTTTGTTTTTTTTTTTCTGTTTTCCCTACTCCAATCTAGTTCTTTTGTTTCAAGATGATTAATTCAAATTATCGTAGGTGCATATCAAGTTATTTGTCTTAAACATCCATCTTTCTTTATTGGAAAAATTCTTATTAAGGTTGTAATATCTTTCATTATTCTTGATGAGGACGTAAAACTTTTAAAAATTCCTATTAAGGGCATAATCAATGCTTAATACACTAAATATACTTTTGATGACTTTTTTAACCTTTTATTAATGACTTACATTATGACTACATTCTTATATATATATATATATATATATATATATATATATATATATATATATATATATATATACTAGATTCTTGGCCCGGACGGATGCCCATACGATCACTTTGAATTTACAATTATAATAAAATGCACTAATATAAGTATAATAATAAAATCTAATTTACTTGGGTATAAAGAAAAGTACAAACACAGGCGATACTTGGTGAGTGCCCGGGCGGCTGCCTGTTTTTAAATCGATTAAATTGAACAAAATGAACTGCGTGATACTTGTTCATTTTCTCCGATTTTAGTTTTTACAAATTAATTTCATTATTTTAAATCATATGATAGTTGTTCATTTTTTTCTCGTTATCGTTGTTACTAATTTCGTTATTTACAATATCTAGGAAGCAATTCGAGTGAGTATTTTTTTTTTTTCTCAATTTCATAACATGTTAATATCTAATTTAATATGATGTCCATTATTACTATGAATTATGGTTGTAAAGTTCGTTGGAACCTTTAATATATGAACATGATTTATTAAGAATGTTGACTGAGACAAAGTAAGCAATTCAATCAAATCTTTTTTTCATGGCTAAATCTCACAGCAAATTCAGGATTGGGTAAAGGGAAGCATCACCACGATGTTTCCATCATAGTTGGGCAAAAATTAGTGTTTACTACTTATTATTCATAAAGGTCTAGATTGTGCAAATAAAAAAAAACAAATCCCAAAAGACTCTACATTTTGGTTGTGTTCGAAACAGTAATCATAATAGAGCAGAGTTGGACGGCAAAGGACTAAAAATTCTGGAGGAGCTTGAGTAACCATTAGCTCTTCTTCAATATGAGATTCTATAAAATACAAACAACATGAGGCATCCCGATTGTAATGATTACAGAATTTCAAACAGTAATTCAAGTTAATAGCAGCTAAACCCAGAAACTATTACATTTTTAAGAAGTAATTGAGCAGAGAAATGAATGTTGAAGTATACTACAAAAGAGTAAATTAAGATAAGAAACCCAAGACGGAAAAAGGAAAGATTGTGGTTGCAAGAGAATAATAACCCTCAATTGACTTAGCTGGCCAAATCCCACTTTTCACGAAGTAATCAGCTACAGTAACTCAACTGCCAAGTCAGCGATATCGAAAATGACTTATAACGAACAAACGTGTCTTTTAGGGTTCCAAAGCTATTATATCCAAGCCATAATTTGAAATTGATGTCTTACTTCCCTGCATATGAGAGGTAGATTGGGGCTGAAGTAGACAAATATGATGATGATGAAGGCCCTCCATAGCCCAAAATCATATACCCACCATCATCCTTCCTTTGTTTATCCACTTTGGGTTCAACTATAAGAAAGGGAAAAAAACAAACACAGAAATCCCATCCAAAAATGCAAGCAGAGGCATCAATTCAACACCTTAAACTCAATAATGAGTCAACTGACCAGAAATTTCCAGAAATCCAAAAAGACATTCTCTTTAAAAATTTCACACATGATCATAAATCCGACCAAAAAATATTTTCTTTCAACAAAAAAAATACTACACACCTCTTTCAAAAATCGTAAAGCAATCCATCATCATTCATCAACTCGTTCTCTGTTTTATAAAAAATCAAATAATCAAACCCAACAAACGAAGTACCTTGAAAATCATCCTAGATGCTACCTGTCACTCGATTTTGAATCGGCCATCGATGTAGCTCGCCACTTGATTAAACATGCGATCTTGCAATTTTCTTCTCCAACTCAATAATTTCAACAAGGCGGAGAATTTGATCTCAAAAGATTTGTATGCTGAATTATAGATGAAAGAGAGACTGCCTGAAAGGACGTTAGATCTTTTGGTTCGTCTGTACCGCTGATGGTTTTTTGCCTCCACTGAAGTCAGCCGAAACGATGAAAAGTTATACACATAACCAGATAGAAAGTTAAAAGGATAGAAAAGTTGCAGTAGCCCATTTTAGGATCCTGATCTTAATCACACACAGAATGGTACAGAGAACCGATATTATCCATTTACCAAATTTGAGCACTAAGATCTCTCAAAGGACATCAAGCAGCCATTTGTTGCACCAAGCTCCTATTTCTTAAGTAATCCGTAAATAAACAAAAGAGAACAGTACTATCAATATTCCGAATCATTGAATTGAGCAAGTACGTACATAAACTTGTTGAAAAGGGACTTTTAAGAATCACTTTGAAACTCATATGAAAGTTCAAGAGATAGTTGCATGAAAATACTGCTTTCATTAAGTAAAAGGGATTGTTACCTCAGTCTCAGCATATAATTATCCTTGAGCCAAGTTTATTTCAGCTAGCTCCTTAGAATGTTGGATGATTAGATGCTCCATTAAGTCTTCCTGAACGATCAAGAAATTGTATGTATAACGAAGCATGACTTCGGAACCAAAAGACCCCTTAAGCGAAGAAACAATGCATCTTTGTGAACATAAAATAGAGACAAAATCCAGCAATTCCGGATCCTCAGAAGGAACTATATCCCATGACATTCAATAAAACAAAAAGGAAAAGTACTCAAAACCACAGCCTAAACTGACTACCTCCACACAAAAAAAAAAACCTATAGGATGAAAGAAAATTAGGAGCAGAAGCAAACCTCTACATTCCTTTATTTTTTCAGCCATACATAGATGGGGAATGAAATACTTCGGAAGTATTTTTTCACCAAATTCTGAATTCTTGTAGGCTCAGAAAACTTGTACTTGTCATCCTTGTGCAGGAGGCAGAAAAAAAAAGAAAAGAAATCAGGTTTATCAAGTTCCTATTATCCCTCTATCCTTATAAGAACTTCAATTTTTAAATTTGACATTATCCCTCTATCCTACATCACCTTCGCCTTAGAATGGTGGAAGGATTGCCCCATGAACCTAAAGGAATGATAAAATAATATGAAACTATTCTGAAGTTTACCACATTTTTGTTTAGGGAATTTGAGAGCAAGGTGATAACCAGATGGACAACATTTTAGCAAAAAGTAGCAAGATAATGAAAGAATTTGGTTACCCTCAGAAATAGTGTTTTGTGTTTCCCTGGTTAAGAGTTTTTTGGGGATCACTTTCCTCCCTAATTACAGATGACCTGCTGTCGGTCTCATCTTTCTAAACAAATTGCTTATCAAACCTTGGACTTTCTGTGGATACAACAACCTGATTTAAAGAAACCAAACTCAGTTAGTTGCATACCAGAGCCAAATGAAGCATTGCGTAATAGGTGACCAAAAAGATCAGTAAGTCTATTCCTTTTGAGCTACCAAAAATGCAAAATTGAACCCGACCCCAAATTTGACCAATTAAACTATTATCATATCAAAGGTTGTTTTCGTAACAATAAAGAATAAGAGTTTCAGATTCTAGATGCTCATGCAAGGCGAATGTTTGGCCACCAATAATTTAAGTTAGTTTAATAACAAAATAAATCATTGGAAAAAATGAGATGGAATTCAAAAATTAATTAACCAACCAAACTCTCAAATTTGAGTAGCAAAACTAAATGAAGAGGGAACTTGACAAACACATTGGACATTGTAAAGATGGAGATTTTCATAACTCAAATCAAAATACTACTTGATTTGTAGACAGTAGTGCTTATCGTGCATTCAAAAAATTTTGTCGCCATATCTGCTTTCCCTAAGTTTCAAATTTTTGATCAATCTAAAGCTACAAAAATAAGATGCCTTTAAGTAGTAAATCAAAATCCAATAGAAAAAAATCCCATAACAAATCCCATATGAAAGAAGAAAACAGACCTATTGGAGTTGAGGTGGCTTTTAAGTCATTTAGCTTTCCTAAATCATGGAAAAGTTTAAAAAGAGAGAAACCCAATTTACTATTAATAGTAGCTAGTAGTGTATCAGTAAAATGTGAAGTCCTAGAGTAAGAACTGAGAACAAAAAGCATTATCTCAAAATGCAAACAGTAAGACAATGAAAGTTCAAGAATTGATACTTGTTATCCATTTCCCTATCAAATTATATTTGATTAATTTCTCTACGTATCAATTAAGCATGACCAATTAAATATTTGCCACCAAATCTCTAGCAAAATTGTATTGCCTTGAGTCTGGGCCTCAAGAAAAAATTAACAAATTAATTAGAACAATCTTATTATGTCCAACGAATTTAATACCAAGTAAAGGTTCAATTTTTTAAGAAACTCTGGTAAAATTTCTAATTAATATTAAGTGGAGCTAATGAGACAAATCAACTGCATATCCAGTAAAGTTATTGAATTATATAGGACTACTACATGAAAGCTATTAATCTAAAACACTATAATCTATCCTAACACCAGGAAAGAAAAACCTTTAATTATAACAAAAAAAAATTTGAAAACAGATCATAAGCATGATGAGATGATGAGGAATCTCTAACGATGGCAAAAACAGTCCGTTTCTTGGATGAAACCAAAGTTGGAGGGGAAGCCGGAGCGGCTTGTTTTGGCGACGGTGGTGCTGCAGCGGGAGTCGGCGTCGTTACAACCCGTGAAGGAGTAACGGGTTTAGGCGACGGAGAATGAATCGGACAAAGAGTGATTGCCTCAAATGAATACGACGGCGGAGGATAGCCAGAGAAATCCGATCCGATCCTCTCCGTTTGAAACTGAAACACGGATTTACGGTGGTGCTGACATC